ATCCTCAGCATCCTTCTCGATCTGAATTGGATCATGATGTAGCTGCAATGGATGTTCCCCTCTTAATGGACTGGCAATATATTACTGAACAAATTACTACATCAGGAAATTATATAGTTCGAAAAGTTGTGCAAGTTTACACATCATAATATTTCGTAAGCTTCCAGACCCGCTGCAAGTTTGCGTAAGCGTAATATTTTGTAACTTTTTAAAATATTTCGAAATATTACGATATGCAAAGCTTCGTAATTTTACGATTTGTAATATTCCGTAATTTTGCGGTTCGCAATATTTCGTAATTTTACATAATATTTCGTAAGTTTTTAGACCCGCCGCAAGTTTGTGTAAGCGTAATATTTTGTAACTTTTTAAAATATTTCGAAATATTACTGTATGCAAGGCTTCGTAATTTTACGATTCGTAATATTCCGTAATTTTACTGCGTAATACTTCGCAACTTTTTAAAATATTTTGAAATTCTATGATGCGTAATACTCCATAATTTGACGATTCGTAATATTCTGTGATTTTACACAACTTAATATTTCGTAATATTTCAAAATATTTCGATAAATAATACTTCATTTTCCGTACTATAAGTTTAGATAATGTATGTTTTATTAGATATAATTTTATTAAACCATAAAAAATTACAAGTATTTATTAATATATACAGAATACATAAAAGTAAAAAAAAGAAAGAGTAAAGAGTAACAATATTATTAGACGTAAAAAGAAGAGAAACAGCTATAGTAACGTTAGTATTAGATATAAAGATAAAAGAAATATTGTTATTATTGTTAGTATTAAGGTAAAAAGAGTTAAAGAAATAGTAAAAGGAGTAAAAGAAACATGGATATTATCGTTAGTATTAAAGTACAAGTAAAAAGGAATAAAGGAAACGTAGATAGTATTGTTAGTATTATGACATAAAGTAACAAAGAGGTAAAAAAAAACACGTTAATATTAAAATAATTAGTATTAATAAATAAATATTTCTATACCTGCAAAGTAATTGAACAAAAGAATAAAGAAATAAAGAGAAAGGAAAAAATAAACATATTGTTAGTATTGTTAGTATTGTTAGTATTAAAGTACAAGTAAAAAGGAATAAAGGAAACATGGATATTATTGTTAGTATTACGATACAAAATAACAAAGAGGTAAAAAAAAATGAAAATAATTAGTATTAATAAACAAATATTTCTATACCTGCAAAGCAATAAATTATGAAATATATG